ATAAATTGCTTCCCTTACAGATATGCACTCTTTTCAAAAAAAGGAATGTATCAGTGGTTTATTTATTAGAGGTGGCAGGTTTTATCATCAGCCAAGGTTAGGCTTAATCATTTGACACAGGTTTAGCCAGTGTGTTGTGACAAAATAATTGGATTAAAAGGGCCAGATTGAACCAGGGACTATTGTAGAGGACTATGATATCTACCCCCTGTGGATAAAGCCCTAAGAAAGATGTTCCTTATATACAGAGTGCTCTAGAGGGCACGTACAAGGATTTTTTCTCACTTCATTTCATCAAATGTTAAATCTCAGCTTTCAAATAGCCTAGATTGTGACTATTGCATCTTTTGTTTTGTTTTTTTCATGTATCAAATCTGTACATTTTCTGCAGGGCTTATCCTATTCATGAAAAAAACACATAGATTTGTTTTGGCACACACAGCCTTCAGCAGAGCGTGTAAAATCAATTCAGTGAAGAGTCTGTACAGACTCACATGTCTACACACAAACGCACACACATTGCAACACATGAACATTGCTTTTTGGCTCAGTGCTTTGCATTCTCCCTCCCTCTACGTTCGACCAATGTTTTCCGCAGCATTCAAGCACTACCTTGTTAACTCAAAGTCAGAACATTCCGTACAATCCGAGAGGGACTAGTGCAGTGTCCTGCAGTTGGCAACAACTGTTTATTTCTAGCAATCCCACTGGCATGGCTCTAGGGCGATGCTGGATGTTTGGTCAGTCAGTCCAGCACCTTGGTTCTGATCACATATCTAAACAGCCACTGAATGAACAGCGATGAAAATGTATTCATTCGTGGTCCTCAGATGGTGAATCCTACGGTGATCCTTTGGCCTTTCCTGTTGCACCAACATGAGGCTGATGTCTTGACAACTATTGGATGAATTGCAATAAAGTCTGTACTTAATGGATAGACACCAAGTTGTGTCCTACGATCCAACTTGATAAAACACAGAGGACTTTTCATCTTGTGACGTCAGCAGGTCAAAGTTGTTTTTTGTCCTGTGAAATACCTTAAACTTCTTCTACTGCCACCAAATTTTGTTCAGACATTCTTAGTTTACAGAGGATACTTTTTACTGACTCTGGTGATCCTCTGACATTTCCTGTAGCAGCAAAATTGTTATTTGTGCTGTTGAATGACGTGTCTTGACAACTAGATGGATAGAAATAAAATTTAAGGCAAACATTCCTGCACCCTTATGATGGAATTCCTAGCACTGTACCTGGGTACAGTTTCACAGAAAAGCTCATATAATTGCACATTCGTTTTAAAATATGCACATATCTTTCTTTATACGGGGAAAAGTGAACCAATCCCTTCTTCAGCAACCACCTGCTTCACCTGGGAACCGCCCAGTACAAGCTCAGCCTCTCTGTCATTGGCCAGTAAGTAGCTCCACCGGAGCATCTGAGGTGAACTGCTAAGCTTGAGGACACCTTAACTGTAATTACTGAGGGAGTGTTCCTCCTGCTCTGCTGCCCTGCACATGCAGAAGTCTTTCTTGTTCTTGTGCTTCAGTTGCCTCAGAGAAAACACGTGTCTCGGTGTCAGATATGTGCATCAAAGCTGTATAATTTAAACACGAATGAAGTTAAACTTGCTTCACTTATTTTGTTTTTGAAAATCAGTTTGGTTTACGTTTTCATTATTATCTCATCAATGGAAGAAAAAACTGCTGAGACTCAGTCCAGTTTTTCTTGGCCTTGGCCTACTTCACTGAGCGCTGCAGCTGTTTTTTTTCTTCCCCTTCTCCCACCTCTGATCCTTCCTCCCTGCCTCTCGTCCTCCTCAGTTGAGTTTTACTGATATTCTGTGTCACAATCCTGACACAGCACTTCCTCAGTCTCTCCTCAGTTTCAGCCTGCTCCTGCCCCGGGGCCCTGGCTGCCTCTTTTGGACAATGCCCATCCTTGTTTGCATCTCCTTCGCATTTCGGGAATCCCGGCATTGCTGGTAACCACTGGTGGATCAGGACGATGAGGTCACTGTCTCTGTTTAGCCTGCCCTTGCCATTGCTCCCCCCCGACAACATCCCCCTTCCCAATAGCACTGGTAGGGGGGGCAGAGGGTTGCTCTGAAACAATGGAAGCTTTCTCCATGCGAGCTGTCAGAGAGAGAAACAGACAGACAGACAGTCAGGGAGACAAGCTAATGCAAGTCAAAGACATCCTGCTTTTAACACCTTAATGTAATGGGTATTAATGGTTACAGCATTTCCAGCACCTATTAATCCGCACACCCACTCAGTGCACGCTAAAATGGCTCTCTATTCTGATTTGCTCATCATTTAGGTTGACCTGCATTTAATTGGTTTGAGTGCCACAGCAAGGCAGGGAAGTTACACATTTACTTTGGCACCGCAGTTATGTCATCACGTTGCATGGCTTGTTATTTGCCTATTCACAGTTTGAGTCTGCCAGTCTGTATTTCACTTTCCAAATGAATAAGGAAAAGGAATCACTTTCACTCTTCGGGACTAAAGGCCAAAAGACAGACCTGTATCAAGCCCAAGACACTTACCCCCCCCCTGTTTTTTTTCTTGTTTTTTTTTTTTTTTACTCATTATTCCTCTCACAGTAAGTTTCAGGACGACAAAGCTTCCCCTCTTGTCATTTAATTTTTTACCTTTTCTAGAATGATGTGTATCCAATCACGTCAACGTGTAGCAGTTTTATAAAAAAAGCACAAGAACTGACAAATGCCAGCTTTTCAAACAGACATTTTCTGCTCTTTACATGAACAAGCGCAGTCATTTCAAAGTCCAAGCAGTGCAGTAAACTCATTAAGCTAGTCGTTTTTTTTTCTTCTTTTCTTAGGTCTTGATTTGCATGCTGTACTTCTCCATTATGAAGCTCTCAGAGCATTCATTCTCAAGAGCTCAGCCATCCATTTGTCTGATTAGACCTGACATGTTTTCTGCAATTTATGTTCGCCCAGTGTTGTTCACGTTAATTACAAGCATTTTATTCTTTGTGCATCAACGGATAGTCCCCCCCCTAAGAGAGGAAAAAACTTTAGTAGAATTAGACCAGTTGGTCATGTTTGGTTGGTTCTGTTTACTCATGTGGCAGATGGTTGTAGTTGTGACCCGCAAATCTACATATTGAGTCACGGCCTCAGTCAAAAGGTCAACTGCTGTTTGTGATCGCTGAAATTTGTGAAAGGGAGAGGACAGTATGCACTCCTTTCAGTATGCGAGGTACGGTAAATAATCAGGGGGAATGCTTTGAGTCGACATAGATACCATTATTATGTAAGCAAAGGCAGAGAGGGACGTCAGCTTTGCACCATAATAAAATCACACAAGTACATTGCCTGGGTGTGATATGTAATCCCACGCTACACATTGCACTCTTGTCAAAACTCTACTCCTATCAATCAGTGTGACAGCAGAGGTCAGAAATGTGGCAGATAGAGGAGGTCAGGCGCAGTACTTTTCCATATCAATTTAAATCATTGTGCGGTCACAGGACATCCTTTAGCTCAGCCCTTTCCTTCTGATCTTCTAATAGGAAGCACCATTTCTCAGGATTATGCTGTTACCTGACTTTTTTTTTTTTCCTTCCCAGGACGTTTCTTTCATTGTTTTTCCCCAACTGCTACTTATAGCACTTTTGCCTTCAACAATACTACCTTCAGTTATTTAGAACATGCAAGCACATATCTCAGTATTAAGGCTGCAACAGTTGTCATTTATACATTTTCCTGTTTTCCCCCAGTGTGTCTTATTGGAATCATGTGATTGGGAGACATTTAAGAACTTCAGTTTGTAAATGAACACAGCTCTCTCTTTATCTCCACCCAAAGTACCTGGAATTATCTGTGTTTCCACAACAGTCTAAAGACCTGCGAAGATAAGTCAAATTAGTCTGCTGATGTATGAAAAGGCAACAGCTGTTTTACATTTTTGCCGCAACTATGCAGAAAACTGGTTCGGTCTAGTCCAGAGGCTGGTGGTAATTCAGAAAACTATGCAACGATAACATTTAGCATGGAGGAGATTCAAGTCGTGATGCTGTTGATTGTGATTTACTGTTTCGCCTCCTGATGCAGACGTTATCATCTCATTAAGTGTCCCGTTATCAGCGCACATTATTATGGACAAGTAGGGACATGTTCCATCATCTAGTAAGCTCAGTAGGCACGTGACCATCCATTCTGATCATTGATAAACGTAAAGTAACACTCTTAACGTTGGTAACGTCTTCCGGTCGTGTGAATGAAATGGACAAAATCCAACTTTGTAACATCTGGTGAGCATAGCAACAGGGTGTATTTTGACACAAACCATGATCCTTTTTGTTCACCTAACCAAGATGTCTTGGTTCCTATGAAGTGAAAGCAAAAGTCAAATGGCATGATAACATTCAGAATGAGTGGTTTTGCAAAATGACATCGAGGCAACTGTGGAAAACAGAAGAACAGCCGCAAAGTGGAATAAAAACACCCACAATGCTGGACTTAAAGTAAGCAAACAGATTTTACGAGCTATTGCGGACTGGTTGTGAGATGACTGAGATGGACTGACTAATACTGTGAATCCTGACCAATTAGAAATGTACAACACTACAAGACCTTCCCTCTTACTTTCCCTCTGAGCAGGGAATTGTGAGGGGGGAAATAATTTTGCTTTCATTTATCTAGACCTTGATCTCTGTGGTGGAAACACAGAGTTACGCCAAAGGTTCCGAGTCCCTGTTGAAGTTTCTCGTGGTGGAAACAGGATTTCTGTTTTTAAGGCTTTTTTTTGTTCCTAAACTGCGTTCAGATGGTTTCTTGCCAAATCTGTTCCGACTTTACTCTCAAAAAGACAAGAAAATGGGGTGAATACCACCCAAGGCAGCTAATCCTGCCATTTATTGTATACAATATGACTGATTTTTACTTGCTAACACCTTAAACCTTTAAAACAAGTAGGTGAAAAGCATGTCATATGTCTGTCCTCATGCCTCATGTCTGGTGTCCCCCACAGCACTTGGTCCACTGGGATGCCGGGAACCCAGAATGTTTGCTTCAGCTGGTGAAGGAGCTCATCCAGCAGTACCATCACTACCAGTGCCAGCGTCTACGCGAGAGCTCCAGACTGCTCTTTGAGTATGATAGCCTCCTAGAAGATCCCAACTACGGTCGCAACATGGAGATTTATGCAGGACGCAAAAACAGCTGGGTAAGGCCCTGCTCGGGGACTTTGTGATGTCCTACAGTTTACAGATCGAGGTTTTGATGGTAGTTGCAATAGTCAAAGGAGAAGTTTAACCTGGAAATAATGTTCATGTTTCTCCTATAACTACATTCATGAGTTGAGAACATAAATAGTTGTCATTGTTAAAGAAGCTATGTGATCATAGTCTAACTTTTTTTATTTTTTAATATTTCTATGGCACTTTTCCAGAAGTTTTAGTCAAAGAATCTAATTCTTTTATATATAATTGCCCACAGCTTTGTACACAGGCCACAGGTAATACAATAATTAGACATACTGTTTAATTGTATAAAATCTTTTGTATTTGACAAGTCAGAATGATGTGTTTTAGATTCAAAACATTTCTTTTGACCAGTCACAGTATGTTTCTACATGATACATGACTTGTGCTATCAAATTTCTCTGCAGCCGCCTGCCTGTGTAGAGACACATTGTTAAGAACACAATGAAAATAAGTGATGAACAGACTAGTGCATGATCCAATGTTATGCTTACACCACAGCTTGTACATATAGATTCAGTTGCTGGCCTTGAAACATCATACTGCATAAATTTACATAATAGACACTTCAAAAGATGGTGTTTGTATTATTTCAGAGCCCAGTGAGAGCAATGATATGCCAAACTAATAGCCTGACTAGCATTCATGTTTTTTGCTCATTATGTCACAGAGATGTGATGCATTTCGTATAAGATATTTGAGTTAATTGGGAGCTTTTTAAAGCAACAGGCCGGCAATGTCTCATATTTAGGAAACTTTACCAAGGAATGCTCAGTAATCAAATGCCTAAGATGCATGCAGCATCCTCCAATTCAGGTTTGTCAGTGGAGCATTGTTCCATGTCATGTTCCTGTGTTTCTCCCGTCATTTCCTGCATTCCTTCACACTATTCAGTGCCCATGAAAAGGGAAAGAAGCTAAAAAATTTAAAAAAATTTAAAAAATGAATAAATTAAAGTTGTATGGTCAGGGCTGGGAAACAACAAATCCCGGTAATGATGATGATCTTTTACTGTGGTTGAGTAAAGCTGGTTTATTCTAAGACACTGCAACTAAATCAGATGTCAGTATATCAGGGTATATCTGAAACAAGCCCATAGCATCACATTTGTAAAAGTGCCAAAAGATTATTTCAAAGGTTTGCTTATATTCTTAGGTCTATTTACTAATTAATTGATCAGACATTTTAGTGTCAAAATCTTATTTCAAACATTATAACATATGTTTCATTTCGGCAAAGTTTCCTCAGACACCGATGTGTTTGAGCATTCTTGTGTGAAATGAAATAAGGCTTATATCACACGTGTATTCACTAACTCATTTCTAAAACAGTATTAAAACTTTAAACACCACAAGTCTATTGTTTTCTTTTTTCAATTATATGACCAGTATGCTTTACACTTTCTTAAATTCTTTACCTCTGTTTCTTGTTTGTCCAGACGGGAGAGTTCTCAGCTCGTTTCCTGCTCAAACTCCCTGTGGACTTCAGCAATATCCCCGTCTATCTCCTTAAGGTAATTAACCCCCCGAACCTCATTGACATTTTGAGTCATGTCGGACGTGCACACCTTCCTCACATTATGGCACGTTCTTACACATCGCAGACGGCGTTGCAGACTCACGGTGGGTTAGTCATTATGTGAGATTCCTTCAGATATTACGGGATCATGAGTGTTCATTTGTTTACATATATGTGTGTCTGTGTGTTTTGAATATGTGCAGTGATAACAGTAGGATTTATTCAAATGAACTTCAATGCAGCTGTGTGTGTGCGCGTGTGCATGTGCGCAGACTCCAGTCTTGGGGGCTGTGAGTTGACTAATCAGCAAGCCGTCACTGTCGATCTGCTCTGAGCCGCGTGGTGTCTGGAGGCAGCTTAGCCTCAACTCACTCTCTCTCTGTCTCTCTCAAAGGCAATCAGTGATTGCCTATACCCCTCTCTCACTCTCTCCCTTATCTCTAAATCTCTTTTCACTCTCTGCTCCCCTCCACCCCACCCCTGATCTTGAACTGCCTGCTCACTGGAGGCCCTGGCTCTCTGGCCTTTTCCAGCCTGGCTCCTGTTTGTGAAGGGAAACGATGGTTAACATAAGGGAAACAGCAACCATGATCAGCCTTTGTCCATATGTCTGTCACATGTGGAGACTCATCCCTCCTTGTAGGCTTTGAATGGACACATCCCCAGTCAAAGTCCTAGTTTACAGCCTCATTGCCAGTGATGGTGGAATTTTCAGTTGATGTTTTTTTTTTTTTTTCTCCACGTGTCTTCGGGCAGAAAAGTTTCTAGCTCAGCGTTGATGGAAGCACTATTGGTGACATGTTTTTTTTTTTCCCCCCAAACACGCATGCTGTCACATACAGACATGCGGCACACACTGACTGACCTTTAACCAGTGGGTGGTGGTAGCTGGACTGTATAGCCAGTGAAAGAGTATTGCTGAAGAACTCCCAGTAATATTTAGGTATTTTATTATAGACAAAATCTTGGATGTGCATGAAAATTCCTGTCACCCTTATCATATCATACTCTTTGCACACATGCACTCACACTCTCGCAGTGTTCTGCTGCATTTGGCAGCTAGGGTATACATAGTATCACCAGGGGAGCGCTTGAAGACTAAGGAAGAGTATCGACTCGCAGAGAGAAAAGTAATGAACATCAGCCCACACCTTGTCCACCTACACATTACAGAGGAATGGGGATTATGCAGCATATAGGCTGGACTCTAAGAACATAAATGTACTGTACGCCAAACCAATGACCTGAATTTTCAGTTTGACAGTTGTCACGCAATTAGTTCTGTCAGTATGAGTGCAGTCTCAAGTCAGTTGTTTGTGTCCATTGCACATTCCTGCTCTGTTATAGAACAGCTGAAGTGCACTTAATTTATTCCTACAGTAGTTTCTGACTGAGCAGACAAATGTACCCCATACATTCCTTATATAAAGAAGCATCCACGCTCCATTTTAATAGATTACTCTGTATACACATCGTGCCGTGTATGCGTGCTGTACACGTGTCTTGCTTTACCGGTTATCCTCAGCTTGTGGGTCAGTGTTGAAACCAAGCAAGAACTATTTTGTCTCAGCTGATTAAGCTGGAGGTCTTTTGATGTTTGCTGAAGTTGAAGTTGTGTCCTCAAAGGCTGCAAACCCCAACAGAACAGATGAAGTAAGAAAATGTTTGACATAGTTTGTTTTTGATTGGCAGATCCAGTTGATTTCGGTATGTGCAGTAGGACTGTATTCAGTAAATGTTTATTTTCATTAACAAATAGTTTTCCTGAGTATTTATGTGGTCTGTCACAACTTCCTGGAGCCACTATGGCAGGCTCCGGTGCTAAAATCTGATGATACACAGTTAATAATGATAAATGAAAAAGCAACAGATCCTCTCACGTGACATCCTGCAACCAGAGAACATTTAGCTTTTTTATTTATTTATTTTTTTGGCACTTTCCACTTAAAAATTTACTAAATTGCTATCAATTCATCAATGGCCCCAAAAAGCCACACTTAAAAATGTGTGTGTTTCATGGCATTAGATAAAATGTCAAAGGATTGTGCCATTTATCTGAAAAACATGGCACAGGCAAAATACAGTACTTTACAAAACAGTTTGGTGGATTTTAAAGAATTAAACAATCATTTCTTCTTCTTTTTTTCAAAATAAAAGTCCAAAAATGTTTGGACACTTACTGCAAGTTACAATCAAGAAGTTCTGAGAATGCATCTAAAAAATAAAAAGCCAATAACATGTCTGACTTAAATTAAGTCGCCCTCTTCATCAAAGCAGTCACCTTATTATATAGGCTGAACTCTCCCAGGAAGTCCAGTTTTGTAAGTGAGTTATTGCAACATGCAATAGATACCCTAATCAGTCAAAATGGCAACACCTGAACTTTAAATTTGTGTGTGGGAAGAACAAGAAGTTGCAACAAGTCAAATCTGACATGCAAGGTGAGTTCAGAGTGGTGATCGTGTTAGTGTGGCCAAAATTTTCAGTGTGCCATGAGTGACTGAGCATTGGCATAGTTCAGGTCATTTGCGGCGAATGTTCTCCCTCGGACATCTCAGGACGCTACAGTAGAACTCGGTGCTGACTGTCTGACCCAGAGGAGCTAATTCATGATGCACGACCCTGTGAATGTCGTAGAAAACGACAAGCATGCTCTTGGATGTGCCACTGACCTGATGAGCTCATCGGGTCAGCAGCACATCCAAGAGCATGCTCGTCTGAGAGACTTGCGGACACTTCCACCAAAAGAGGCTGCATCTTAGTCGTAGGCCCAAATCTTAGTCAGATAAGGTGATTGTCACTATAATATTGTTAACCTCTTGCTGTGGTTTGCTGTCTTGTTCGCATTCAGACCTGTTACGGTTGAACGTTTTCTTCACAACGAGAAACAGCACATTTTTTTAAATTAACTTTTTTTTAAAGTAATCATACTCATGTCCCCGTCTCATTACAGCAGTTACACCCATTTATATTTTGAGGGAACACTGAAGCTATATCCCTCACTTAACCCCGCTTTCAACGACTGTGATTGGTTGGAAGAAATGCAACAAAAGTGTGTTTTTTTTTTCCCCCCTATAGCAGAATGATAGTGTGGTGCAGCCAGGCTATTATGTGCTACAGAATGGCCTGGCAAAGCGAGACTAATGTGTTACTAACACTGGACTTCTGCGATACTGTACTTCATTGTCTCACAAGTACCTGAAGCAACACGTCCTCACCTCTTCAATCCCTTGCATTATTTTAATACAGGCCTGTTTTGGTCTGAACGCCCACGGAGCCTTCAAGATGAGTTACAACCTATTTAATAGCAGGTCTTTTTTAAAAAAAAAAAAAAAAAAAGTCAGCACTTCAAAAGTCAAAAAGGTGATGCTTTTCAGACAGAATACAAGCCATCAGCCAGGTGCTGTAGGTAGAGGTCAGACTGTTGACCCTGATTTGAATCAACCTCCCCATCAAATCCATGGATGTCCTTGCTTGAGGAGGGAGGGTTTGGCAGTGAAGCGGAAATCTGTTCAGACATAGGCTAGTCTGCAACTGCTAGTGAATGCTGAGATGTTGCTGGTGGGCACAGAGCTGTGGAGGACGACTGTTACCTGGAGCAAAGCATCCGCGTGGTCTGAGCTCACCACAGTGGACATGTTTACCTTCCTGCATGGACTGCCCAGCCGCAGGGAGAGGGGAGGTTCATTTATTTATTTCATTATTTTAAAGGGGGCAGCCTGTCATAGTCAAAATGAAAGAGTGGGAAGGACACTGGAAGCAGAGATGGAGGGAAGTGAAATGCACGCAGATGGATGTTGGCAGTTTTCTTCCCCCTTTAAAGGCCGTGCGGTCCTCTTGGGCACTGTTTTAGTGTCTCATCCTTTGATCGCACCTTGACCTCTTGCTTGTTACCCATTTGAAGTTGCTCTTACTCATACCCTCTCATTTAGCACTGCCTTTGACCTCTCACTGCAAAGCATGTTTGTGCTCATTGGTCAGCTTTCGTAGCACATTTGGTGTTTGCAGTACATTGTGTTGCAAGTAGACGTTTCTTTTTTTGACCTTGCGTATTAGTCTTTTAATCACACCCGTAACCTTTTCTGTAAATGATGTTGGAGCATTGCTTGTAGACTACATATATGTGCAGTGGCGGCTTGCCTGTAAATGTTCACACTGATCAGCGCGGCATGACGCTGCCACATTCATGACTGAGCCCTTTGCTCTCGCTCCACTTGAGTCTTGTTTCCCCTACAAGCACTGGTCCATGTCACCAGCTCCAAAGTGGCTACAGTGTGTGTGTCTGTCATTGACCTAATAGGTTATTTCAGGCGACACAGGTCTTGTGTGATATGTACTGTTGTGTAACATTTGTGCACTCAAAGATGAAAGCACAAGGATTGCTTATAGTGCTGTATAGTGCGCTATCACTTCACTGAGCGATTTCCTCAGACCTCCTGCTGAAATCACAGCCACTTGAATGAGTTTTATAAGACGTCAGATGGATACCTTGGCCAGACTGATATAAGCCTCATTTTAGATGAATTGTTATTGGTGTGTAGATCAATCAAAAAATGACAATATATTTTCCACACAGAGGTTACAGAGCTTTGCCCAGCAAAGACATTAATAAAAAAAAATAGTTTGAACTCTACACTGTTGCCTTCTCTGGATTGAGCAGATCTATGTAGACCCTGCCCCTCTATTTCTAGTTCTTCCCACTCACTGCACCTCAAGCACACCAGTTCACTGAGGACTCTTCACAAACACTTGTATACTCTGCTCTACACAACGGCATGTTGTATGATTGGAGTAATTCAGCCATACCAGTTAGTACCAAAAAAATGATTTGGAAACGAATAATGATAGGGAAAGGCCCACCCTGCGGGATTGGTTTCTTCAGTTTGTTGTACATGAAACCCCTGAAAGTTTAAATCTGTGGCCAATAGTACACTGCAGTTTTAAGGTGGAATTACTTTGTCTTCTAGCATGTAAAAAACAAACGTATTATCACGA